AGTTTTAGGACACAAAAATACTGATCTTGATTGAGAAAAAAGCATTGGTCTACATAAATGTTGAAGGTATCTGGCATAGCAAAAGTCCCCTTTAAGAAAATGACTTACAAAACACAGTGACAGAAAATGCTCACAGCGTGTATATGTGAAGAATGTGTCACGGCCCCAGCTGTCAGCATTGCCAGTGTTGCTGCTGTCCTCAGTGCAGACAGCTGTGGCATTTGTTCAGAACCTTTGGATGCTGAGGGTGGCTGAGCCGGCCCTGCCTGGTCCACAGACCCTAAATTGGACAGAGTGGGGGACTGGGTCAGAATCAGCATAATGAGGGTGGGTGTGTGGAGCAGACCTGACTGGATCCCTGTCCCCAGATGAGGTGCTCACTCCTGTGTACAGTGAGTGAGGAGGGAAAGACAGGAGCCCTGGGGATGGATCAGATGCCACTCAGCTTCCTGACACTGCTATGGAGCCTCAGCTTTCCGAAGCCACCTTACATCTCACAAAGCCTTCACGGGAGCAGAGCCACTGCATTTAAGAGCTGTGACCTGCCTGTTCCTGGGCCCCTCTGCCCTGAGTTCTCACAGCTGACCCGGTGGGGTGAAGGTGTGTCCTAGCAGGTCAGTGTTGCCACCCACATCTACCCAGTGGGCACCCTGATGACCAAACTCCCATGGAGGCTCTGAGTCATTTTCCAGCTGGGAGAGGCCATCTCAGGAGTATCCCTCACTGTCCCACACTGCCCTCAGACCCCAAAGCCTTCCTGCCTCTGACACACCAGGGCATCTCAGGTGGAGAGCCTTGGCTGTCCTGATCCTCCTTTCTGAAGCTGCTCACGATGTCAGAGAGGGGCCAGGGCAGCCGGGAATCCTAAAGGGGGCGTGGGTTGAAGGGAGGTCACTTGTTCCTGCCAGCTGTGCCGGCAGAGCATGTGTTGCACTTTCTATCTGTCGGTGTTTCCTGGGACCTAGAAGCAGAGTTTACTCACACTATTAACACTCTCATCATCAGCCACCTAAAGGCCTCTCTTTCATATTTTTCTTTATCACCATTTCAAATCATGTTTTCCTCCATCTCTTAGTCACCAACTCAAGTGTAAATCATACGGTTCCACTCCAACTTCCAAATCATCTCTACAGATACTTAAAGAATTCATAGTGTGCTTTTATTTCTTAAGCAAATAATTTTTCCTCTTTAGGCCTCATCTGGTTTATTTTTTATTTTTTCTAAGATTTAAACTCAGACTTAAACATTTAGTTTTATCCATGTGTGCATATGAACCATTTCTGTTACTTCCAACGGGTCAGCATTGTGTAAACCATATTTTAATTTAAACCCTGTGCTGAGCAGCCAGGTTGCTGCCGATACCGCGTGACCAGTGATGACTTCCTCCTGCGCATTTCCCTCCATCTCTGAACCACTGTGGACTAGCCGTATGGAGGGTGCACACTTAATGTTACTATGTGCTGAGGGATGTCCTGCAGGATGGCTGAGCTTGTAAATATCCCAGTTGTAAGAGCTGAAGCTCCACAGCCTGACTGAAAATTTATTTTTATTTTTTAAATTGCAACGTTAGTTGTCTGCTCAACACTCACGGGTTTCATGCCTCACCTAGAAGTAACTGCACAATTCTAGGGCATTCACAGGAACCTATAGGTTTTGCCTACACTTGCCCCTGGCTGGCTGATCTCCAAACCCTCTCCCTGGCTTCCTGCTGAGGGGGCTCTGGCTGCTCCTGCCACTCCTATCCTGCTTCCCGCAAGCCCTTTTGCTTTGCTTTCTGCTCTTCCAGGCAGCTCCTCCCACACAGACGTGCTGGGCTCCACAGGGGTTTCTTTCACCTCAGGTGGATCAGAACATGTGTTCATGTGACTTTTATTCATCCATGTTTCACCTTCTCTAAATTGCTTTGCTGTGATATTTGTCTATTTTTAGTGACATTTCCATTTTATCTGTCTTTTCTATTTTTTTTTCTGAAATCTAGATTGTCCTTGCTAATATCTTTCCATTGTTCCATATCCCTCTGCAATTTTGCCTGTTGGATTCTTCTTCTAACAAAGCACCTTAAATAGCCATTCAGGAGTTCATAAAGTTATGTGCTTTATCAGAATCCTAGAAACCTCAGCAAGTTCAGCACATGAAAATGCACTCACTCCCAAGCCATTAGCAGAGTACACATTGGAACTAGTTTCTCTTACACCCACCAGAATAGGCACATTATCGGAGACAAAAGTGCAAAGGGTGGTGAGGATATGGAGGAGCTTGAACTGTCATGTTACTCTGGGAACATACTTAGTTTCAACCATTTTGATAAATGGATTTCTAGTGTGTACCACAGTCATCAGCACCTGTAACCCTACAGCCCCACTCCTGCCACCTATGTCCAGGAGACATCTATGAGCCAAGGATGTTGGTGTCCACCTGGGGGACTTCACAGAAGCCTTGTTTCAAGCAACCATCATGAGAAACAGCAGAGTGAATGTAAAAAAACACGGATGAATGAACTAGTTGTGCCAACTTTCAACAATGTTACATACTGACCCAGCAGTACAAAATGACAGATATTTCATCACGTGGAACACGGGTGAAATTCACATATTCACATATAATTTTCAACCAGACACAAAAGAGTATATACTGTAGGTTCGCATTTATATGATGTTTAAAAATACATTTAAAATGTGTTGATCATGATCAGAGTAGGTATGACCTGGGGTTACTGCCTGGAAATTAGCTGCAGAGGGACTGGCAGGGGGCTTACATCTGGGTGGTGTAACACAGTGTTTGTAGGAAGGCAGCAGTCTGCGCATGGCATATGTGTGCACTGTGCCACGGGTAAAACAACCATCCCCTAAAAACTAATGCATATCATATCTTTCCACCATGCAAACATCCATCCTTATTGTCTCCTGAGGAGTCTATCTACATTTTAAGTAGAAGCAACTTCAATTTTGTATGTACAAGAACACGCTCACACTGCTCTCTTTTAACTGGGAAAATCATGATAGCAAATTATGTAAAAGACATGACAAGAAAGGTGGATTAAAAGTCAAACTCTTTCAAATACTGTTGCCAAAATCCAACACAATATGTTAGCAATCTTGATTCCAAGATTTTTTTTTTTAATTTTCCTTTGAGTTTGGGATACGTGTGCAGAATGTGCAGGTTAGTTACACAGGTATACATGTGCCATGGTGGTTTGCTGCACCTATCAACCTGCCATCTAGGTTTTAAGCCCCACATGCATTATTTGTCCTACTGCTCTCCCCTTGCCCCCTGCCCCTGACAGGCCCCAGTGTGTGATGTTCCCCTCCCATACTTATAAGTAAGAACATGCGGTGTTTGGTTTTCTGCTCCTGTTTGCTGAGGGCGATGGCTTCCAGCTTTATCATTGTCCCTGCAAAGGACATGAACTCACTCTTTTTTATGGATGCACAGTATTCCATGGTGTATGTGTGCCACATTTTGGTTTTGTAAAGGAAAGACTGGAGTTTTGATACGGATATAAATGTGGGATGAGGACAGGATCCCTACTGTTTAGGGTGCTGCTGGGGAGAGTGGTGAGAAGAGACAGAGCCCTCAGGTTAGAGGAATGGACATTTAATTAGAAATAGGACCTGGGTGGTCCTCAGGGACAGTCCTGGGGTGGGGTCTCCAGGCTGTAGCTGTGGAGAGTTCCCTCTAAGAGGATAAGGGACTCTGTGCATTGTCCCTGCGGGGCTTGGGATGAAATAGGAGTCTGAAGATGCTGACCTTTGGTTTGGAAGAAATGAACAGGAAGAAAGGTCCACTCTGTGCTGGTGCAGCCACTGCCCATCCTCAGCCAGGCCTTAGTCCAGCTGCACAGACAGTGGCTCAGACCAATAGTAAGTCAGGTGGAAAGCTTTATAAACTAAGTTCATCAAGCCACTGACACTCCAGCCCAGGCGCCCCTTATCAGATAAGGGCATTAGCTGCTCACCCAGGGTTGGTCAAGTGGAGGGAAGCGAAGTGGTCATGTGACAGTTTAGAAAGTTGCTTTCTAATACAGTTGGGTGTTACAAAGCCTTATACAGTTAGGGGTTAGTTGGGTGCAGGGGTCCCTTGCTGCCAACTGATCATTGGAAATGTGTAGCCCATGGCAGCTGACTGTGACGCTGCTATGAAAGGATTGCCCTGTTTTGAATCACCCTCGTCTTTCCAAGGGGCTTCGTTTGAGATAAACCACATCCTGTTTGGGGTCTGGGATGGAAAGGAAGAGACAGAGACCGGGTCTTGTGTCCAAGCTCTCTTCTGGGCTCAGGCATCTATTCCAGGACATCAGCCCTCCCACAGAAACCTTGGGCCAGGACGTCTCGAGGGTCAGGGGAGTTCATGTTCTGGGGGGTCTAGAGCACGATCTGGAGGTCTGGAGTGTGAAGACATCTCTGACCCCGAGGCCTCAGGCATGTTTCTGCCCCAGGTGCATCACACAGCAGTGTGGTCACTGGAAAGACACGTGCCTTTAAGAGAATTTCTTCCAACTGTGAAGTGCAGGCCAGAGCTCCTGCCATGCCCACTTTCAGGGCTGATGTGGGCATCACAGGAGATGGTCACATATATTGTCCATGCGCTGGAAAGCCTCCCACAGGCAAATGAAGAAAAGCCAACTTCTACCCTCCCCTGCCCTGAAGCATCCATGCCCCCTCTCTGGTCACCCACTGTCAAGTGTGTAGCTTCTTCTCCCAGGCATGTACTGATGGAGGGATCATGGAGCATTGAAGAATCAGCCACTTTTTCTAAAGCTTTGACTCTGTTCAAGGATCTTTGGCCTCATCATGCTAACCGGTCAGCCCTATTAAAGTGTTTAGATAGCAGTGCAGAGAACTGGAGGCTGAGGGGTTGCAGGATGTTCCCCGGTTTTCGTGCCTCTAAGTGGGATTGAGCCCAGGCCCTCAGGCCCCAGCCCCCATGCTCAGTCACTCTGCTCAGCTGCCTTTCTGGACCATCTCATCATTGAGGCATTTTCCACACAACCTTTCCCTTAGGTGTTTCAAGTGCACGTGAGAACCCAAGATCTTCCGAAAGCCCAGCGTTGGCTCAGAGGCTGTCGGGGAGTCAGTGCAGTGGGATCCACCGTTTGAGCTCTGCATCAATTATGGTTTCTTTCCTCTGGTCTTCTGCCAACAAGATGTCAGCAGCTCTCTTTACTGTGAGTGCATTTTTCAGGTTCTTAGCTGATGAATTTGAGGAGGAAAGCATTTTCCTCCTGCAAGAATCTATACCACCCCAGACCAGCAGCAGGTCAAGGGGCCCCCGACTACAGGCACAGCTGCAGACGGTGAGCTGAGGGCACTGCAGATACTCAGCCCTTATGTTGATTCAAGAATATGATTCAGGTTTGTTCCAAAGTTGCATATTTAAAATAAAGCAATAAAAATGCTAAGCCATATTGTTATTCATGTGAGAAAATTTTAATTTACTATTCAATCAGTAGTGTTTCAACCACATAAAGATACATTCACAGCTCACTTGGTTCACATTTAATAGCGAAACACATCTGAAGCTCTTGATTAGACATTAACTGATTGTTGAACATTTGCTGCAATAGATCGGCCTCCAAAATAGTGTTGCAAAATGACTCTTTAATTAATAGATGTTATTATTTGGATAACTTTTACATTAGCAAAAAAAATAGAACAGATACTGAAGTTAGCACAGGCCCCTTTCCTCCATTTCCCCTGTAACTGACATAGCAGAATGGTGCATTTGTCATGGTTAATGAACCAATATTTACACACTATTAACTATATGTCAGCATTATGGATTACTTTCTATTTTGCATTTTCATAATTTTTTTAAATTTGCAATGTCTTGCTCCACCTTGCATGCACTCATTGTTCTCCTGCTGACAACCCCCTGTGCTTCACCTGTTATTCTGTCTGTTCCTTGGAAACAGCTAATTTTTTTTTTAAGACGAATCTCACTCTGTTACCCAGGCTGGAGTGCAGTGGCACGATCTGGGCTCACTGCAACCTCCGCCTCCTGGGTTCAGGCAATTCTCCTGCTTCAGCCTCCTGAGTAGCTGGGATTACAGGCACGCGCCACTATGCCCAGCTAATTTTTTGTATTTTTAGTAGCGATGGGGTTTCACCATGTTGACCAGGAGGGTCTCGATCTCTTGACCTCATGATCCACCCGCCTCTGCCTCCCAAAGTGATGGTATTACAGGCATGAGCCACCGTGCCCGGCAAGCTAATTTTTTTTAAAGACCAATCTCACTCTGTTACCCAGGCTGGAGTGCAGTGGCATGATCTCGGCTCCCTGCAACCTCCACCTCTCAGGTTCCAGTGATTCTCGTGCCTCAGCCTCTCGAGTGGCTGGGATTGCAGCTGCCCACCACCACACTTTTAGCAGAGACAGGGTTTCCCCATGTTGGCCCGGCTGGTCTCTGACTCCTGGTCTCGAGTGATGTGCCCACCTTGGCCTCCCAAAGTGCTGGGATTTCAGGCATGAGCCACCACACCTAGCTGGAAACAGCTGATTTGTGAAATTGTCTCTTCCTTTTTTACAAAATGACACCTCGGTTGAGTCATAGAGTATGTAGCTTCTTCAATAGACATTAAAGATCATGCCATGTTGGTCCATGGTGCCAGCATCTGGAGGCTCTGAACCATCCCAGCCTCCAGAACTGTGAGAAAGAAAAAACTGCATTTATACCACTCAGCCCATGGTATTTGGGTTATCTTTTCTTTTCTGGGGACAGGGTCTCACTGTGTTGCCTAGGCTGGAGCGCAGTGGTGCGATCTCAGCTTATTGCAGCCTTGACCTTTTGGGTTCAAGTGATCCTCCCATCTCAGCTGGGACCACAGGCACACACCACCATGCCAGGCAAAGTTTCTTTATATTTTTATAGAGACGGGGGTCGCACTATGTTGCCTAGGCAGGTCTTGATCTCCTGGCCTCAAACAATGTTGGGATTCACTCAGGGTGGCTGGCAAGTTATTAAGAGAAATATCAGGGAAAGTTACAAGATATAGTCTCAAACCTTTTGGAAGGCCAAAAGCTTTTCATAACTTGTAATAATGGTACAGGCTGAAGGCAGCCAGTTCTTACCTTAGAGCATGAGGTCATGGGTAAAAATTAGGGATAATAGAAGCTTCCCCAGTTAAGTCTGTTTACCCCACATTCCTTTGCCTTTAACTCCCTTGTTTACTCACATGGTGTTAAAACGAAACTTTGAGCCGATGGCCCTCTATGGGGAGGTCAAAGGGAGATTACCCCTTAATGGTGTTTGCTCTGGGCCCTGGAACCAAATCTATAACGTGTTAATTATCCACAAGCATGTTGAATTAGAGCTTCTGTCATTAAATCTAAACTGAATAAATGTGAGGAGGGACAGGTATTGAAGGGTTGGGTAGCTGCAATGGCCCTCTGAGAGCAGCTGACTTGTTCACGGTACTTTGTGTGTGGAGGGTATTTATTCATCTGTCACAGGGTCAGGGTTTGCAGGACAGGCCCCAGCAGGTGGGGATCAATGTCTCAAAGCAATCCACCTGCCTCAGCCTGCCAAGGTGCTGGGATAAGAGGTGGGAGCCTCCGCACCCAGCCAGCCTTGTTCTAGCAGCCTGCACTGACCCTGGCCGACTCTTCCAGAGGACACTGGTTGGAGAGGGCAGTCAGGAGGGGCAGTGTCAGGCTTTAAACTGTGTGAAATGGGAAGTTTTGCCCAGCAGCAAATTCTCTCCGGATTAAGAGTTTTGTGATTGGCAGCCACAGTGAACTAGAGAGACGCATCCTCCAGGGAAAGCCTGCACCTCCTCCAAGGTGTGTGTGCTGGCTTTGACCACTGCTTTCCATCTGGGACTCTGTGTTCACAGTGGGAGCAAAAGGCCTGAGAAACACCACGCAGCGTGACTGGTCCTCATGGTCTCTTCTCTCCTGTAATTGCAGGTGGCCTCAGGAAAACAGCCCGGATTCTGCAATCACTGACTCACTGATGAAAAATCCAGATGGAAAGAAAGGTGGGGCTTTCCTGCTGCCTGCAGTTTGGAGATCTGCTTCCAGCTTCCTGCTGGGCACAAGGTGGGGCAGTGGAAGGAGCAGTTTTTGCAGGTGAAGAACCCGGGCCTCATTGTACAGTCCCTGGAGGAGCCATGTCCCTCCAGGTAGGTGGGTTTCTGTGCATGGGACTCTGGGGGGTCTTCATGGGTGTCATGCGGTGTGACTGAGCGTGTGGGTGGGAGTGTGTTTCCTCAGGAGACGTGTCCCACCTACGCAGCACAGGTGTCACATCAACGTTCTCTAGGGGAACCCCACCACCACTCTGTGCTTTCCACACATTTACACGTTCATGGCTCACCACAGCCTTACCACACATTGACACGTTTGTGGCTCACTTTCCAGCCCTGTGCCTCCAAAAATGAGGCACAGAGAATGACCCATGCTCCTGAGCTTCTCTGTGAAAGAGATGCAGGTGAGTGAGGAGTGGGGCCCTGTGTGGAAGCTCAGGACCACTGGGAGGCATTCCTCACTCAGCAGCGGGCTCAAGGGTTGCAGGGCAGGGGTGATCAAGCCCCATGCATATGCCTGGAAGTACCTGGGCATGCAGAGTTCCAAGACACCACCCACAGTTAAAAGGTGGCCCCAGTGCTCACATAGCCCAGGTCATCTGTGCACATGTCACAGATTTTCACCCAGCCATTAGCCTAAAAAGTCCAAGCCATGGAAACAGAGTAGAAGGGTGGTGTTGGAGAGTGAAGATAACGGAGAGCTGGTGAAGGGCATTAAGTTTCAGTTACACGATGAGTTCGTTCTGGAGACCTGGCACACAGCATGGCGACCGTAGTTGATAGTGATGAACTGCACACTCGGAATCTGCTGAGGAAGCAAACCTGGAATATTCTCACCACACACGCAAGCGGCAACAATGTGAAGGGATGGGAATGGTTATGAGCCTGATGGTGGTCATCATTTCACATTGTTTGCCTTCACATTTTATACCTTATATATACATATTTTAAAATTGTTCAACTGTCTCAATAAAGCCAGGAAAATATCCTCAGAAATATTCAAAATCTGTGAGCTACACATCCTGGAAGTGATGAATTAGAACCGGCAGGACCCCTGATGGTCAGTGAGTCCCATCAGCCTGGCTGAAGCGCCCCAGGACAGCAGAGTTAGAGCACCAGCTCCTGGCCCACACCTCCCCCTGTAAGGAGCCACCCTTCCGGCCTGTGTGGGCAAGCCCAGGGGATGTCAGAAGATACCGGCAGTTTCGTGGCAGTTAAACATGACAGGAGAGGTCAGGGGACTTTCTTGTTGCATGACAGTGTAGAGTTGGGCACATGGGGACACTGAGCATTTCCTGATGATTTAGGTGGCCTCTCGCTTCACAGCTGAGGACTCTGAGCCTCATCCCAGTCCTGCTTCTCTTTTCCAAGCCTCTTCCACCCAGGAGGATGACCCAGCAGCAGCTGAGCCCATTCGGAAAACCCGCCATGCCCATGCACGGCAGGGCTGCGTCCATCTCAAGCATCCACAGGCACCACTGCCAGTGCACTCCCAGCCAGCCCCTCTGTCCTTCTAGCCCCACTGAGAGGCTGCTGGGGGAAGAGTCCCACCTCACAGCAAGGAAGGAGTGCCTGTCTTTGTCCAAAATAGGGGCGATGCTTCATTGATTTATTTTATTCCAAATTCATTCATGTATGAAAATATGGCAATATACATAACATGTGATACATACTGTTTCCTGGCAAGATAGGGTCAGTCACGAATGGCAGCCTCAGCTTATAAACAAACCGGGAGAGAGCCTGCCCTCAGCACCGGTTCTTCCTTCTTCTAGGACTAAGAATTTTCCAATTGCCAGCCGAAATAGACTAGGGAGACCCACGCTCCAGGGAAAGCTCCTGCATGGCCTACAGGTGTCCTCACCCTCCCTGCGGGGCTTTGACTGGGCTACAGTTTCCCCTCTGTTTTTCTAAAGCAACCTGTTCTGTAATTAGGATACAGAAGTGCCGGGAAGGGAAGAGTGTGGTCCCTTTAAATGATACAAAATGGGAAGGGCAGGGCTGGGTAGAGGAGGGTGAGGTCCCTGGTAGGGCTCCACCCCCATGGACCTAGGTGAGGACAAGCACTCCTGCCTTTGTGCAGAAATGTTGCATTTCCCAAGACCACCCTGGCCCACCACGTTGAGAGAAGCATATCAGTGGAGCAACACAGAGGTGGCTGAATGTTGAGAGGGATGCCCTGTCAGGTGCCAGCATGCGGTCAGGCCACTGGCAGAAGCAGAATGACGTGGAGTTTGGCCAGAGTGGTCGAAGAAGAGTCCCACCACTGGGGAAGGGTTGGGCCGCCAATGTCCCCCCTCTAGGGGAAAGCCATCTCCCTGCTTGCTTCCCGATCTGCTGAGAGCTTCTCCCACTCAATAAAACCTTGCACTCATTCTCCAAGCCCACGTGTGATCCGATTCCTCCCCTACACCAAGGCAAGAAACCCTGGGATTGAGAAAGCCCTCTGTCCTTGTGACAAGGTAGAGGGTCTAATTGAGCGAGTTAACAGGCGCCACCTGTAGACAGCAAGCTAAAAGAGCACCCTGTAACACTCACCCTGGTGCTTCAGATGCAAACAGTCACCCCCAGGCACTGCCGTGGGGTCAGAGCCCCACAGCCTGCCCATCTGAAGAAGTGAGCCGCACCCCCATAGCACACCCTGTGAGGGGAACAAGGGAACCCTTCCCATTTCAATTACTGATCATCCAGAGAGTGAGTAAAAGTGGTGCATGATCGGGAATCACTCACTTGCTGAGAAGAAGTGGAGGTGACATGGAAAGTGGAACTTTCCTTTTGGCTTTGGTTGGGGAGGCTCCTTGATTCTGGGTTCCTGTGAGGGGTGAGGATCAGGGAAGTGGTGATGGAAGCTGATTTTCCAGAAAAAGAGTAATGGGCGCGTTTCAGGGAGCAGGTGTACTCCCCTTCAGATGGTGGGAGGCCGGTGTACCGGGCAGGCGCTCTTCGTGTGAATGCACCCGCTGCTCTCTGAGTGCAGCTGTCTGGGAGGCTCTGCACTTATATCCCCCTGGCAGCACAGCCACTCTCGTCAGTTTCCAAATGAAAAACTCGCATCTCCATGATTGCACATTTATTTATTTAAATTTTATCAAATGTATGCTTTGTATGTGTGTAGTTCTTGACACTCCCCTGGCCAGGGCCAGGGGAGATGAGGGTGGGCTCCTGGGGACAGTGAGGTGTCCCCTCCGCTCTGCTGCAGCCTCCCTGATTTTCCAGCACAGGTTTGCAGGGCCATGCTCTTGACTCTGCTTACAATTTGCCCCCAGCTGTGAACCCTCTAGGACCTGGATATGACCCACTATTTAGCACCCCCAGGGCCTCACAGAGTGGCCAGTACTTGTGCCTGTGTGCAGGAAGTGCCTACTACATGAGAGATAACACTTGTCCATTGATAGCTACTCTGCAAGGAAAAACCATGGGAGGCGGGGTGATGTCCCCCACGTGTTCGAATCCCCAGACTGTGCTCTCCAGGGTGGCAGTCATTAGCCATGGGTGTCTATTTTAATTAATTTTTTAAAAATATGTAATATCTAGTCCCTCATCACCCTGGGCACGTTTCCAGCACCCAGGAGCCCTGCACACAATGCAGAGAGAACATTCCCATCTGCACAGGATAGTCTTGCTGCAGCGGCTCTGACCTGGCACAGGGTCTGTTTGTTGGATCACTGACCTGAAGCCTGCCCGTAGCGGTTGGGGCCCCACATTGATTAGGCTGGTGGTGAGAGCTGTAATGACCTAGAGGACAGGGGAGTGGCAGGTTGAAAGGGGGTCCTCTCTTGATGGGAAAGTTTGCAAATGTGAGCAGTGACTTGATGAAGGCCTCTGATGCCAGAGAGCCCAGATAAGTTCTGAGAAGGCAGAGGACAGAGCAGGCAGTTGCTGTGGGAGCTGGTGTGGCCTCTCCTGGCAAGCAGGACTGTGAGCTCCTCCAGGTAACACCTTTCTTGCTGGTGTTTGTGTCTCCAGAGCTTGCTTGGCCACAGGAGACATGATTCCAGCAGTGACGATGAAGACACTCCAGGTAGATGCACACACCGGGGAGAGGGCGCCACAGAAGAGGCTCGAGATGTCAGTCAATACCAGCAGGGGTCTGTCTGCAGTCCCTGACTCAACGATGGGTGAATAAATGCACTCTCACACCTGCTTCAGTCATTCAGGTGGGCTCGGGATGGTTGTCGGCTGCTTTCAGAGGGTGGCTGCAGCCAATGGACCAGACCCCTGTCTGTCCTCACATTTATTCAGTATGAATTCCATAACAGGGGTTCTAAGCCAACATGCTTGTGGATAATTAACATGGTGAAAAGAGTGACCCAGAGCAAACACTGTTAACGGGTAATTCCCCTTTCACCTCCCCCTGAGAGGAACATTCAGCACAAAGTTTACATGAGGAAAAGAGAAGAGGCAAAGGGATGTGGGGTCAACACCTAACTGGGAAAGCCTCTCATCATCCCCAGCTTTTCCCCAACGTAATGGACTGGCTGCCTTCAGCCTGTCCGAATAAAACCTCACAGCCTTCCAAAAGGCTTGAGACTAATCTATAACTTTCCCTAATATTTCCCTAATATTTTGCCAGCCACCCCAAGTGAATTCCAACAGAGGCTTCCCAGGGGCAGCCCAGCCAGGCCTGCTGCTTCAGAGATGAGGAAGGGGGAGGGGGTGAAATCAGAAAAAAAGGAAATATGTGTAATTTGTAAAATGTTAATGATACAGTTTATTTTATTTTATTTTTTTGAGACGGAGTTTTGCTCTTGTTACTCAGGCTGGAGTGCAATGGCACGATCTCGGCTCACCGCAACCTCCGCCTCCTGGGTTCAGGCAATTCTCCTGCCTCAGCCTCCTGAGTAACTGGGATTACAGGCATGCGCCACCATGCCCAGCTAATTTTTTGTATTTTTAGTAGAGATGGGGTTTCACCATGTTGTCCAGGATGGTCTCGATCTCTTGACCTCGTGATCCACCTGCCTCGGCCTCCCAAAGTGCTGGGATTACAGGCTTGAGCCACCACGCCTGGCCCAATGATACAGTTTAAAAAGCAATTATGTCTATGGCATTTGAGTGTCACGTCTGTCACTATCTTTTCTTGCTTTGCTTCTCAAAGATTATCTTGGCCACATGACCTGATCATTTCTGCCTCTGCCACCACCAAATATCAGACACTTGGGTTTTGTTGGTTGTCGTCTCTTGAGAACTGAGCATAGAGCGATTGGGTTGGGTCTTGGTGCCGGCCTGCACTGTGGGATATCCACAGGCACAGCTCTCTCCAAGACACTAAAACCTGGGACTGAGCTCTCCCAGAGTGGGTCAGGTGGGGGTTGGAAGTGGACCTCTCCCATCTGCACTGCACTCCCACGTCTAGTAGCAGCAACTTGGGGTCTCTGCCCTTCCACTTACTCCTGCTTTAACGACACGCTGCGGTTGTGGAACTTCAAGAATCGGCCTCAGTGTGGAGCAGTTTTAGCAAACTCAGCCCCTTCTCTGATGACCTCTGGAGCTGGGACAGCCCCTCCAAGTCCTGACCTGGGTGAGGGGCCAGGGGTTCATCACTGCACACAGATCAGTTATGGAGTGCCAGCGGTCCCTGGAAGTGCAATTGAGTGACCCCTTATCCAACTGCAAGACCCATAGGCATCTCTGATGACACTGGTTGACCAGTAATATTCAGGCATTTGGGAAAGCACACACAGCCCTGAAGAGGCATCGTGATGGACACCATCAAGTCCACTAATGTCCACCCCGTGCACTGTTTAGACATGCTCATTTCATGGGGCAGTTTCTTCAGGAATCTGTTTAGCTTTTTCCCCCAGAAAAAAAAAATGTCAAGAGGTCATCGGTGGAAGGAGCCATAGAACCTGCTGGTCTCCAGCGGTAACTGAGGGTCACTGTCCTCCTCCTCCACTGCCCTTCCAGCTGCCCCAGCCGGACACTGAATGTGTGTCCACAAAGCCATGTGTGGGTATCCAAGCCCCAGTGTGATGGCCTCAGGAAGCACAGCCTCTATGCAGTGAGTAGGTCGTAAGGGCTGAGGCCTAAAGAAGGAGCCTCCCATAGCTTCTCCCAACCCCGCCCTGCAAGGACGCAGCAGAGACAGCCGCCCACAAAGGAGGAGGCAGGCTCTCCCCAGGCATCGCCTCCCCAGTGCCTCCATGTTTTACTTCCAGCTTCCGGAACAGTGAGAAGTAAATTTCTGTCGCGTGTGCGCCACCTAGTTTACAGGACTTTACCACAGTGCCCTGCACGGGCCATCCACATCATGTGAAGAGGCCCACTCTGCCATGGAGCACAGTAACACCCGGCATTCTGCTCAGGCTGGGCACCGTGACAACAGGGCAGCCTTGTCACCAATCAGCGAGCTTAAAATCCGATGGGGACCCCTGGGCCCTGGTTGCTGGTGTCGCCTATGAGACCCTGGGCTAATAGATTAGACTGGGTTTCATATGGATGCAGTGGGCAGAGCGCTGGTGATGACGGCCCAGCACTGCAGCCACAGGGGAGTGAGCGGCCCTCCAGGAGCTGTGGACAGTGACGCTTCCTGAGTCACCACAGCCTGGGAGGCAGCTCCTGAAAACAGATGCAAGACCAAAAGGTCAGGAGGGGAGATGGGGAAGGAAGGCTCAGTGTTGCCTGCCCTCCCCCAAGCTGCACAGGCAGCCAGGACCATGAGCAGGAGAGGAGCCCGGCCTTAGTGTAGACGGCCCAACGTGGTGCTGTTCTAGACCCACTCCTGCAGGGCCAGCCCCAGTGCCTGGGGTCACATCGGAGCCCTGTGGGGTGGGGCGCAGACACAGCAGCTCATTTCCAGGGGACTCATGGGACAGTCTCCACTACTGAGTCGCTGCATATCAGACGCTGTGGACTCATGGTACCCGGGCCTGGAGGAGCCTTCCCACTGTCCTTACTCTGCAGAGCCTGGCCCAAGGTGCCAGCTGCGGTCCCAGAGGCAGAGGGTGCTGCTCTTGCTCCTGCAGGCCTTTCCTGTTCCCAGTGAGCGCCACACAGGCCAGCGTGCAGGATGCAGGAAAAAGAGCAGCAGCAATGCTGGGGAAATCACGAGGGACTGCTCAGGGAGACGTGTGAAGGGCGCCACACAGCCCCTTGGCCAGAGAATCTGTGCAGATGCCCACTAAGCGTATAACATGTATAGAGCATCATGAGTCTGAAATGGAAAATTAAGTCATCATGCTGTCTCATTACACAAACACAATGATGGCCCAGAGGGAGTTAAGCATGAAGGTCTCTTGACGCGATATGGACAGGCGCACCTTTGTTACCTGCTGCCAGGAGCACAGCCGCTCTGCAAATGCTTGCTCACTTTTCCCAAAGCTCACACAGACTCTGTCCTAAGGTATTACATTCTAGCCTTAGTGAAGTGCCCAAGAGAAACAAGAACGTGTGTCCACATAATGATTTCCAGAGGAAGGGACATTGCAGGATTGTGCATAATGGATTAAGCTGGACACAACCCAAGTGATTGTCAGT